GCATGCGGTCTCTACACGGCCGTTCCAACCCATTCCTTCAACTCCATTGGCAACAGATCTCTGTCATGATGCCTGAATGCCAAGGCGCCTCGGGATCCTGACAGACCATCCACATGTTTTCCCCAGTGACGGCAGGGCCGATCTGAGGGAGAGCCGACAAGGGCCTCAGAGCTGCCAATGAATGACTGGACTTGTACCACGGAACACCCATGAGCCAATCCACTGACGCGCAATCTCTTCTAGAAAGAATCTTGTCACGCCCAGCATCGTGGGGCAAGGCCAATCAACCGAGGCTCAATTGCTCAGCAAAGCACCCCAGACTAACCCCATCGCCATCAACAGCGCCGATTTGCGACGCACCAGCGGTGGCTCCTCGATTCTCACGCCCGCCAGCCTCGACCCTTCAAGCGGTCTGCTCCCCAATGCTGGCGTTGACGGCCATGTGCCTCACATGATCTGTAAGCGATGCCATTTGAGCTTTCTTTCTTTTGTGTTAGCAATTTTTTCCCGAGGGATCCAGCCAACCACGGAGTTGTTCCCTTTTCCCTCTGTCCCTTTCCCCGACTCTGAGAGCCTCTCCAACTTCTCCGCACCCATCCAACCCCTTCCCCTTGACCCACCCACCGGACTGGGCGAAAGCCTCCGTGCCGCCCATCCAACATCGTCACCAGACCCCTACATTGGAGCTGTCGAGAGCCCTCCTTCACATGCAAAATCGAGTGATTAGCATGTGCAACGAGGCTGAAACCGAAGCTCAACCTCCTTGCAAGCAAGAAAGCGTGCTGACCACTCAACCACTCCGGCGCGCTAGATCAACGATCTGCATATCGCAATGAGCCTGTTCTCCTCAGCAAAGCCCAGCTGTCAGAAGCAAACCGGTCCTCTTGGGCGAGTACGGCTGGTGGCTCTTCCTTCGCCTCGGATGCCGTTGCCCAGCTGCCTCCGTTTGTGCGCGCCTTGCCCAGTAAGATCCCGGCAGAAGACGTTCGCTATCTGCACGCAAAGGGTGCATTGAGCATCCCTTGCCTCTCGCTGCAGAATGCTCTCCTGCGTGCTTACATCGAGTTTGTTCATCCCTACATGCCGTTGATGGACCTTGTGCCCTTTCTCAACATCATCAATCGCTACGATGCCGCCGAGGGTCAGATCAGCCTTTTCCTCTACCATGCTGTCATGTTCTCAGCCACTGCTTTTGTCGATATGAGACATTTGCGAGAAGCTGGCTATGCCACCCGCAAGGCTGCCAGGAAAGCATTTTTCCTCAAGACGAGGGTAAGGCAACTACGTATTGCGTTCCGGCTTACACATTCACACCCCTCCCCCGTACCTTTTGGGAAATAAGATCCATATTCACATGCCAAACAGCTACTCTACGACTTCGACTACGAATCAGACCGCCTGGTTCTCGTCCAGGGGCTTCTGTTGATGACGTACTGGTACGAAACCCCTGATGACCAGAAAGACACTTGGCACTGGATGGGTGTGGCCATCTCTTTGGCTCACACCATTGGGCTGCATCGCAACCCCGAGGTGACGAGCATGGCTGTGCCGACTCAGAAGCTGTGGAAGCGCATCTGGTGGTCCTGTTTCATGCGCGACCGCCTCATCGCTCTGGGCATGAGGCGGCCGACGAGGATCAAGGATGAGGATTTCGACGTGCCGATGCTGGTGGAGAACGACTTTGAGTTGGGGGTGCTGCCAGACCACATCGCCATCATCCCTCCCGAATGCACCTTGATGCGCGATGTAGAGATGCAGCGGGAGCTTGCCGTCATGTGCATCGCCAAGGCGAAGCTGTGCATCTGCATTAGCCACATGCTCAAGGCCCAGTATTCCGTTCTCATCCGCGACAACATGAAGCCCGAGAACACGACGAACAGCACCATGATGCTGTTCCCCAACAAGAAGCTTGACAACCTCGACAACATCAAGGTTGTCGATGCAGAGCTTCAAGAATGGGCGGCAACACTTCCTGCATGCTGCCAGTACCGCATGCTAGTTCCTGCAGACGTCAAGAATGGCAGGTCGACCATTGCTGTGCAGCGAATGCTGCTCCACATGGTATATCACACGACCATCTCCGCCCTGCATCGTCCTCAGTTCCTACCATCGTCTCCGATGCAGGCGCCGACTGCCTCTCGCCAAGTGCAGGAGATGTCACGCCTCAAGGTCAAGGACGCGGCGACGCACATTACGGACATGGCTACGGAACTGCACCACCTCCGCTTAGAGAGGTACTTGCCTACGACGGGTGTGACGGTGATATTGCCCGCCATGATCATCCACTTGCTGGAGATGAAGAACCCATTGCCCGATGCTCGTGCGCGAGCAACAAGAGGCTTCCGTCAGTGCATGCGTGTCATGGAGAAGCTGCGCGAGATATATGCTGCTGCTGATTATGCCACCGGTTTCTTGGATGCTGCTCTCAGGAAGGCGGCCATTAACATCAATGCTTCCGTTGAGCCATCAACGTTGGCAATGATGAAGGAGGTTCCACCGGAATTTGGCACTCACACGCCGCCACCTGAAAATGCCCCCTACATGACCGCCTCTGAGACGCTCTTCAACCAGAAGCCCAAGGAGGCTCAGAAGGTGATGGGGCCTCCGGGGACAATCAACGCTTCCTCGCAGGTATCCGCCGCGGTCAATTCTCCGCCGCATACCGACTTTGACCCGTCGAACCTCACTCCGAGCGTGAGCGGCGGATCAGACGAGGCTCATGTCGAACTGGACAATATCATGGACGTTGATTTCATGCAGGGCCACGACGAGTTCGACTGGAACGCAGTCGCTGGTACGGATTTCGACGTGGATCAATGGCTGCAGTTCCCTCCCGAGGGAGTTACCAGCACCGACGAGACGCTGATGGCTTCTGCCTTTACCGGCGCTCCCGAGGCTGCGGATGCGTTTGGATGGGTTTTCAACACAACTGTCGATGGAACTATACCGGTGCAACCAGAAACCTCTACTTGAGCTTGCAGTGAGTCAAGTATGGGGGGCTGCTGTTGCAACAAGGAACCAACTTATAGACTGGGGAAAGGCGTTCAACGGATGGGGGCGTTTTGGATTTGCTGTGGCGGCTTGTTGCTACGAAGATGTAAAAAAGGAGAGGCCTCAGCACTTGGACTTTTGGACAATTGCAGGCCGATGTTTGAGATGTTTGGGATTTACGTGTTTCCGCATTCGTTTTAGTATTTCGCTTTGTCCGTCACTCTTGGCCTGAAGATTTCCCCACAGGGCATGACTATCAGCCCTTGTCTGTTGTTGTCGTTTACAATGAGATAATGATAATGATAAAGGGGAGCTGTTTCAAACTTGTCTGAAGATCCCGGCAGCGGGTCACGTAATGCATGATGAGAAGTCGGTGTGCTGCTGCTTGTGAGCAGGCTTGCAAAAGCCAAACCCCAATTGACAAATATCTTTCGGCATGAATGGCAAGATATAATCATGTCATTAGTGATAGATGGTCAAATGCATGAACAAGAAGGGCACCTAAGAGATGGATATCTGTAAGTTGTATAGGGATATCTCACGGCATTGATGAGTGAAGATGAATTCAGCTATGTATGTCTGCCCTGTGGAGAGAGACGGGATTCGGCCTCGGCCGGGCATGGTGAACATGGGGGCCTCGGCAGATTTGACGCGCTTGGGCACGTGCCTGTACTTGTACGAAACAACGGTAAGGTACGAAACAATTGGATGAAGTTTTCTGGGTCATGGGAACTATCCGTGCGCGGTAGCATCAGCACGAGTATCAAAGCCCAGATTCAATGTTAGTATGTCCTTGTTCTGAAGGAGCGGCTTTGGAGCCTAGGAAATGCGACATCTTCAAGGCATCGTGCTCAGGTATCAAGTAAGAGGCGACCGTATCAAGCACCTCTACGTGTCCATTCCGGAAACAAGCGGACTGATCGCCGAGAAAAGCCCACCGTCCCCCGTGTCTCTCTCTTTTTTTCCTGCCTTGGGCTTTGGTCAGGTTTTGGGGCTGGACACGGCAGGACAGGACAGGGCCTGCGGGCTGTCGTGCATGCGCGGTTGGCGTGTCATGCCCAGGGCCAATCGATGCGTGACATAGAGAGAAAGCCGACTGTGCTATTGGAATAAGGTAAGGTAAGGTAAGGTAGCCGTGCCGTGCCTTGGCTGACGCTTGTACTCGTTTGGTATTGAGCACATGGTTGTCAAGGTAAGGTAGTAGTAGTATGAGTTCAAATGTGCTGACGCGGGGGGAATGACTGATGGTGTTGGGCGCGACTGTGGCGGAATTCTTGCATGTGAGAGAGGCGGAGATACAGACAGATCCTTCCAATGTCGTGGGCCTGCACGGATGGGCGCTGTGGACGGGGAGGGAGATGATATGGGATCTATCGAATGAATGCGTCATGCATGCGTTGGGGTTTTTTGCTCTCTTGTCCCCCTTCTCCATCTTGATTCGTTCGAGGAACATGCAACATGTTAAGCAGGGAGACTCTTTGGGTCTTGTGGGCACCTTTTTTTACGTACTTTATACATACATGAACTTTCATGTAAGACTTGCCAACGAACGAGAGAGAGAGAGAAGCGCAAGGGAGAGATGAAGAGACAAATCACACGCAGCGACGAAGAAACTGGTCAGACCGAGCGAGAGAAGTCTCTCGGTGCATTTCCTGGCCTGGGGGACCGACCCCCGGGCAAGAGGGGAGCCACGGAACCACGGAAGTGGAAGCGGAATCTGGCTACTAGCATTTTTGTGCCCTTGCCTTGTCTCTCTGTGTCTGTTTTTCTTTTTTTCTTTTTTTTTTTTTGTTTCTTCTCTGCTCGTTTGTCTTATCGGGGAGTCATTTTGTTGGATTCTGGGGTCAGGGTCTGGAGGTCTATTTAAAGAGACAGCATGCTGGTACGTACTAGTAGTATCAGTAGTAGTACTTCATATTCGCATCACATGGTGCATGAACGGTATTAGAATTGCAAAAAGATAGATATGCGGGAATGACATTGAGACATATTTCAAAGAGAGGGATAAGATGAATCAAAAAGCTGAGGTGTGTCTCTCATCAGTTGGCCTGGTTGGCATGGCAGAACCGGATGGATGGGAGGGAGTGGAGACGTGTGACGAAACCACGAACAATGAGCGGAAGAGAGGGAGAGGGAAAAAAAACCTTTTCACCCTCGATTTGTCCAGGGTGGATTGAAACTCGTCAAGGCTGAAGATATGTATGTATGTACTCCGTACCTCGTCCCAGGTCCCTGGTTCACTGCAGTTGTTTGGTTTCCTGTTTGCGCCGCCTTGTAATACATGTACTGTATGTACGACCGTCTGTGCTGTCTGTACGAGTACGCAAGGGCCCCGTAGAAAGTCAATATTGACATTGGATTGCCCAGCACTCCGGTCGTTGCGTCGAGACGCGTCCCTGGTACCGCGACGGAAACCCGCAAATACGAACACGCACGGGTACTGGTACCTGCGCTCGCACTTGGCGCTTGCACCACGGGCTCATGGCTGTATTTCCGTGCTGGGCAATACGCCTTCTCGGTACCTGACGCTAATAAGATTGCCTCTTGTCAAAGCGGGAGGCAGCAAATGAGCGCCGCCATGGGACGAGGCGCTAATGGCCCTAGCGAGGCCGCCGGGGTGTCTTGGTTCAGCGGGCGACGGGGCGTTGGCACAGCACCTACGAGGTACCCGTCCGAGGATTACAGGCACCAGACCAGCAACGACCATCAATCCCACAGCGCCCACAGCGTGCCGACAGGGCGCTGCACGGCATTCAGCACCGCGTTCCGCTGCCCTGTACACCTTGGCACTGACACACTGCACGTCGATGGCGTCAAGACGCGCTGCCCCGGGAAATTCATGCGTATCGGTACCTGGACGAGGCCGCAGAAGGGGATCGAGAGTTTGATGAGGGAGCCACTGTATCAAGCAGAAAAGGCCGTTGTTGCTGGGCTGTGGCAGGGCAGGGCAGGGCCGAGCAAGGTACAGTCACCTCAGTGATATCTGCCCAGGTCTCCGCTGCTCGGGGTTGCTGCTGGCGCCGTCGCGGCGCGCCTTGTCCAGACCAGTGCAGTGTCGAGGCTGGCTGGCGCCTGGATTCACGCTCGTTCAATTCTCTGCTCATTTCCTTGGGTCGTGTTCTGTTTCCCTCTGTCAACTAACCCTTCGCCTGCATCACTGTCGCCATTGTCTGTCTTGCGCATCTCTCCGTCACTCGCTTTGTTTTGCTCCCGATTTTGCTGTGACTTTGCTGCTTTTGCGTCCAATCGCCGTTGACGAGGCCAGCCGCTCTCTGAACAATCAAGCCCCTTGATTCCAACAGTCTTTTCCGGCCTCTGTCTCACGCTCACTCTCTCTCACCTCTCACTCGTTTTTTTTTTTTTGGTCCTCTTTCGCGCGCGCGATTGGTACCTAGCCCGTCGCTCTCGTCCAATACCACACCTTGTCCAGGTAACCCTTTTGCTTCGCGACTGTCGCTCTCGATCGCCTCTTGTCTCGACGGGACATACCTTGATACCACGCCTGACTTGCATAACCATCGTCGATTCGAACACATACATACATACCTACGGACCCCAACAAAAGACCCCTACGAGGTCCGGCGGATACCCAACGCACGCGCGCCACATTGCGTACATACGGCCGGAGAGCCTGGATCGGATCCCACGCATTAACGCAGCACGCATTACAGACTCCACGCTGTTCGCCAGCTGCTTATTCGCCGCCCGCTTATCCGGAGGCCTTGCCAGCGCAGCAGCAGCACTGAGGTGGCACCATTCAGCTTGTGCCCAACCGCCGAGCCGAAACGAAACCGCTTGTGACTTGCCTTGCCTCCATACCGTTTCCTGCTCCGATCTGGCTTGGGACGCCTGCAGCTGCGAGAGTCTTTGTCTGCGCTGGTCTCCTGTGTCTGACGCCCCCCCGTCATTCCATTTTTTTCCTGCGACAAACGCCGCCGCCGAGCTACACCAGGGGAAGGGCGGCGAGAAGCCATTGGATTGATTCCCCAGCGTGGAGACTTTTCCTTGCCGGTGCAACGCCAGCCTTATTTGCATCTGTCTGCTCGCTTCCTTCTGTCGCTTTTTGTTTTCCCCGTCGCGCTTGTCTCTGTATCTATAATTGTACGGAGTCGCAAGCAAAGACCCGGGCAGTGTAAAAGAGGCCGCTGCCTCCTTGCGCTTGCCTGTATCTAGCATTCTGTTTTTTTTGACGGCTTATAGCTTGATCGCATGGCTGGCTTGTTATAGCCGCAGAACCGCCACCCATCACCGCCGTTCTCCGTCGACTATGGGCATCACCAACGAGAACCGAATCATCGCTGTCCTCATCCCGCCCGGTCCATGACAAAGACTTGAAAACTGCCAGAGACGGAAAATAGAAACAAACAACACACTTTTTTCGAGCGACAAGGCAGATGATGCCTCGGCGGCATCACTGTTACACCTAGTTGCACGCGCTAACGACTACTACAAAACCGCGACGACCGCGAATAAGCAATCATGAACGAAACGCCAGTTCTCGTCAAGCAGAAGCGGCTGTCGACGCCCACGCCGGGCCAGCTGCTGGCCGCTCGGCAGCGCCCTGCCGACGACTTCTTTGCTCACCTGGAGCCCTCCAAGGTTGTCGAGGCATTGACACCGCCCGATGGCGTTCTAAGGGGTTGCCTCGCAGAAGCTTCCGCGCTCGAGCGGGACTTCGCGATGCGAACGGCCATGGCATCCCAGAAGATCTGGCAATGGCTCAACGAGCTGAACCAGTGGAATTGGCCAAAACAAGCGGGGTCGGGGGGGTTCCTCGAGCCGAGCAACACGCAAAGGAAGCTCTTTGCTCAGCCCCCGACCCCTGAAGAGGAGGCCGGCAGGAAGCATTACATGGGAAGCCTCCTTGCCGAAGAGGTGGACAGATACGAAGCAAGAATAAACCAAATCAACAGAGAGATGGACGAGCTGGATCTCGAGGAGATCAAAGGTCACGTCATGAACGACCACATCCTGCCGCTGTCCCGACCGGGTACCCCCATCAACATGGACCCCAGTCGCTCGATGCTATCAGCCTTATCGGGCTACCACAAAATGGAGGACATTTCCGTCCTCATCACCGCCATTGTCGTGCAGACCCTCCCCAACCTAGCCAGGCTGTCCCGGCTGCTGCAGCTGTGGCACATGCGCATCACCGTCCTTCGGCACGTCAATCCCTTTCTCCAAGCCATCCAAGAGGTCGAAGCGCTTCTTGGAGAGAACTGGGAGGCCATTTCCCAGTCCCACTGGGAGATGGAGCGCCCCAGCAGGAAGGCCATCGTCTTGCCCCCGCGCACCCTGACCTCCAAGGACTTTGACGCTAGAAGACAGTCGCTTGCGCTCAAGGTTGCCGATCCCGGCCGCACTCTGGACTACATGCTCGACTGCTTGGAGGGCGCCCCGGACACCCTCCCGGATGAGTGGCTCACTCGCATGGAGGATGTAGAGCAGGGCTATGGCGAATGGGTCTCCGCTTGTGAGCGCAAGCTGGCCGAGGCCAAGTTGGCAAAGACCAAGCCCAAGACTCTCCATCTTAGGAAGCCGTCGTCGCTCTCACCGTCTCCCACGAGGGCCCATGCCGAGAGCAAACTCTCGCCGCCCTTGTTGCTGGTGCCTGGCACTAGCGAATCGGACCACGGAGCGTACCTAGACCCCATTGCGGAAGATGAACTGTCCTCGTCTGAAGAAAATCTCACGCCTGAGTCTGGCATGCTGGACGACCGCATGTCCGCTATCAGCGAGGAAGATGACGAACTCGGGCTGCCACCTGTACGGAACGGCCGCAGGCGCGGCAGCGTTGGCTCCCCAACGTCTACCACACTCCACCATTCCCCCAGCTACACGGACGACGTGTCGAGTGATGCCCCTGAGGTGTCTGCATCCCCCGCCGCTGCCAAGAGCCGCCTCCGCGAGGCGTCTTACCCCGATGGCGACAGCCCACCAAGCTCGCCTCCAGAGGTAGCCCGACGTGCCGGGGAGGCTTCCATGGGCCTTCTCGACAGCCCCATGGTGGCAGCGACGCCCGAGGACGACGAGTCATTCTTACAATCGACATTTGAGGATTCCTTCCTGGATGACTTTGAGGACTCGTACGCTCCCGATATCCCCGGTCCACCTTCCCGCCGGGAAAGCGCTGGTGAACAGCAGCTACGGCTGCAGATCAGCCAGATTATTGAATCCATACCAGCCAAAATCAGGCTCACCAACGGAACATCGGGTATCAACCTGAACCCGCCAGATCTCCAGCTCCCCCGCTTGAGATCGAAGCCGTCCAGGGAGCCCATGAAGCGGAGCACGTCGGGCATGTCCACCCGAACTGCTACGCCTTCGTTCACCCTGTCCCCCGTCAAGCAGAGGACGCGCTCCAAGGGCCACTATCCGATCCGGGTCTATCATCTCTCTAGGTCAGACAATGAGGCCCCCATCAAGCTGTTCATACGCTGTGTTGGAGAAAACGGAGAGCGAGTCATGGTCCGCGTTGGTGGTGGTTGGGCCGACTTGTCCGAGTACCTGAAGGAGTACGCCAGCCATCATGGCCGCCGCTCCAACGGCAAAGATAAGGTCAAGGTAGAGGTCCGCGATATTCCTCGCGCATCTAATCCGCCAACCAATGCTGCCAGCCCTCCGAGCCGGCCACCTTCCGCTGCCGAAGACCGCCCTTCTGCGAGCCCCCTGGGCGCGCGCAAGCCTCGCAGGAGCAGCGTCAACAGCTCCCTGCGCCCCAAGACCCCAGTAACGCCAGGTCAGGCGGCTGCAGGCACGCCTCCATCTGAAGGCTCGGCCATTTCGAGGCCCAACTCGCGGCTGAGCTGGGTAGAGGACGAGGGTTCCTTCTTGGGCCTAGCAGGGCCGAAGGCCAAACAGAAAGACTTGAGTGAGGAGAGCAAGGCTTGGGTTGAAAGCGTCAAAGAAAAGGTACGCATGGCCAGTGGCCCGGATAGGAAGTCAAATGACAAGAAGTTTGGCGAGATTGGAAAAGCCGGGGGCACGAAGCGCGTGTTCAGGAGAGGTTGATCTTGCTCCCCCCTTTTGGGGCCTTTCTTTTGTTTTCTTCTTTGAACATATTTCTGGGGACACGGTGCATGTGTCATACACGGACAGGCGAGACATCAGTTTCTCTACATCTTGGGACGGGAGTTGATATGACGGAGACGAGAAGCTGTCATTTTGTTATTCGCATGTTTGGAACATCATGCACGGAGTTTTGTTTGGGTGGGCATAGCATGTCATGAACGTCTACACGAGGTGTCATTGCTGGAGCGAGTCATAGCCATTGTCGGAGGATACCCATATACCTAGCGGTTTAACATGTGAACAATTTGTGGAATACATATCAACTATCAGATACTACATCTTGCACGCTGCGGTTATGTCTACGAAGGTGTCTATAAGCGAGTTTGAATGGATATCGCGGTGTGTGATGCTATTCACGTTGTGCAGGTCCTTCCAGCAGCGCTTCCCGGACGTACGTAGGTACATGTACTCAACAGCGCCAAGTACAGCAGAACTATAGATGGAGGGTTGGACAAACAACACAATCAATCAAAACACACAGCACATTTGAAGCTCAATTTCATAGATGGCAGCATTCATTTACATATTCAAGTTCATCGCAAATCCAGTTGTTTTAGGTTCGGGGGACCTCTTTTCAGGTACGCGCACAAGCGCATTACATCATCCGGACCCCTGAGTCCGCCGGGGGTCGCTAGTAAGTTGGCTTATCGATAATCGGCCGAAAAAAAAAGTTGCCAGAGGACTCTTGAAAAAATCGAGGCAGTCCCGCCGCGCCTACAAAATCGCAGCCAGACCTCATATCCATCCACCCGTTGAGATTGCTTACACCTTTTCCCCAACCAGAACAGCAATTCTCAATCCGCAATCATGGGTCAAGGTCGCCGCATGAAGAGAAAGCAGGGCATGCCCGAAGCCCTGTCCGAGGAACACTTTGCCAACCTCAAGCGGAAAGCAGGCCTGCCCGTGGAG